TTAAATGTTGCTAGAGAGGGAATTCCTGCAACTTCGTTCGGTAGTCCACTCCAATGATTCACTTCTCTTTGACTAAGTGACATCTGCCTCTTGGTAGTTCTACTCGTACCGTTTGCTAATTGAAGCTTGTCTTGCAAGTCTCAGCCTAATTTCTGGTGCTCCTTGTAGATCTACCACATATTTTCCTTTCATAACCTTGAATATCTCTATCAGATACCTCAAAGTCTATGACATCTCAGTGAATACCAATCCAAGGCTTCGAGCCTGTCCTTACATTCTAGAATTTTCCTTCGTGCATTTGGTGACTTAGTCGGCATTGCGGACAACGATTTCATTAAACCGGTAGTGAAAAGGATCATATTGGTGGCAATAACATGGACGATCTACGACAAATAATCGTAACCATAGACAGTCGTAGATGGACCAAGTGACACGGTGTCCATGGCAATAATCATCTCGGTGATAAAGAGGTCATTTTGGTTGTGCTTCATCCAGTTTGGTAAGAATTTAGGTTTGGTGCAATATCCCTCATTTTTGGGTAGCGTTAATAAGGAGTGGTTCCGGGATTGTATTCCAACACTACGCGACAAAACGTGTAGCTATTCTGCATATTCAACAATTGTAGCCTTTATGAAGTTAAAAAATCATTATTTTGGATTAATCTACCCGTCAAATTGTCTAAAACTAGCTTAGCTATTCAATTGGGGCTTTTCAGAAGTTAGCGTCGTCATATTTTATTGTACTAGTATCACCTCTATGGTTACGTCACTTCCCGTTACGTTGTGCAATGGCGTCCGTGAAGACCGACAAGATGGGCTCGTCTCAACGAAGCTACGGAAGCGTTGTCTTGACGCTTGAAAATTGTCTTATCGGTGAAGAAAAACTGTCTCCAACACCTTCTGAGCTCGATGGACTTGAGCCTGCTTTGGAAAATGAGCTGAGGATCACTGGGAGCCGAGCTCATTCAAACGGCTGGGAAACTCCTCAAAGCTGCCGCAGGTAAGGACCCTACTTATTGTGTGCCATTGTTTATCTGCGTTGATGCTGTTTTAAAGACGATGATAACAAAGTGTGTAGTCTGGTATTTTTGCGAACCATCTTATGTAGCCAGTTGATAGGACTTAATGCAACATTGGTCTGGCAGGCTGTTCCCATTTGTGACGCGCCGTTGTCCCATTTGTGCTGCGCTGTTTCTTTAGAAAGTCCAGGGTTGTAATCCATGTGAAGATCACATGAAAGGAAAGTACATTACAGGAAGCAAGGGCAGCCAAACACTTTTTGTGATGCAGATGGTTATGACAAAGTGAACACTGAAATAAGTTAGTGCGTCGCTTTCGTCTTTGTTCTAGTTACTTTCGTCAAGATGGCGTACGACGGCGTTTGCCTGAGCATTGCGTGCTGGTTGAGACACTATAATTTACAAGGCTTAAAAGCATCATGCTGAACATGTGTGACATAGCACTAAGGTCACAACAATTCCAGTGCACGGATACCAAAAATTAGGGACCTTTGGTTTAAGACTGCCACCAATTAAGTGAGAGAGCACATATTTCAAGAAGTTATGATGGTGTAGGGATAATGCAAGATCAAAATCTTGATCAGCATTGTATCTGAAGAAAGCTAGGATAGTTAGCCTGTTGTGGGTCCTGATTGAAATAAAAATGCATTGTCAAACTTTGGAGTAATGTCTACATCATATTTTTATTGATCTGTACTCTGTCATGCTCATACTCAATGCCTCATTTTCCCCAAACATATATCAATTCCAGGAAACTGATACTCTCGCACAACACATCCATTAGCCAGGTGCCGTCAGTTGTGCATTGTGCGATGACTTTTTTTGCTGAGCATCTCTGCTTTAGAGAAATTTCAGTAACAAATGACAAATTTCCATAGAAGGAAGTAATTCCCAGTATTCAATTAAAAACTTCCCAAATATAACCTGTTTGTTAGGTGCACCATGGGTGCTCCACAATTACCACACTGATCTGGGATCGAGATTGCAAGCATGACATGTGGGAGGTGGATTTATTGCAACAAGGTCCTTAAGTCAAGACAGGGTGCCTAATCCTGTGTATTGCAGCACTCAGTTACCAGTTGGGTAAGGTAGCAACTCCTCATATTGGAGTGCCCATGGTTATAGGTAATTAAACCTAGTTCTCAACCACATGCATTAAACAGAAATAATAAAAAGGCCGCCACATTTTACTTAAGCTTTGTTTTTTTTGTTATGGTCTTGGCTTTGATTCAACTTTATAGCCAGGTCAGGATGTAGCCTGACCTTATTCTCACATGATGGGTAATGTTGGCATCCTTGATGCATTGAGATGGTCTAGGTGGATAATACATGTGGCAAAGGCTCCATTACTTACATGCTTTCTCCTTTATTTCCAGACAGCAATGGCCACAGGGCAAGTGCTAATGCATAGGTTCTACTACTCAAAGTCTTATGTTAAGCATCCTATGGAAATCACGACCATGGCCTGCCTTTGCTTGGCGTCAAAGATTGAAGAGGACAAGAAGGACAAGAGATGTGATAAATGTGTTCCATCACATCAAACAAATTCAGTGCCAAAAAGTAAGTGACATCTTTTTTTCAACACAAGGTCATGCACCTTGGTTTGTGTGTGTTGTCATGCCCAGCATTGCCAGCCACTGGTTTGCTAGTTCCACAGAAGCCGAATCATGCCACAAATGTGTATTTGTGGGGGAGTTGATGCTTACAAATATTTTGTAATCTGGAACTTCTATTTGGATCTTAACATTTTCTATTCTGAACTATGTGGTTCTCAGTAGCAGTTGTACTATTTTGACTTAAATGAGTGCAAGTTTCAGGAATGATCTATACAGGCTGCCTTTATTATCATGCTTTACCATGGCACTGTAACCTCCACAGGACCATATCACCAGTTGTCCTGGACCCAAACTACATTCATCTAAAAAACCAAGTGATCAGGCAGAGAGACGCATCCTCAAGGAACTGGGATTCTGTGTCCATGTCCAGCATCCTCACAAGGTATGTGTTGTTTTTAAGTATAAGCTATGGTTTCAAGATTTTTCCCCTACAAGCCCCCTCTTAAAACTTTATTTGTAAAAGTTGGTTTGAGGCAAGGGTCAGGAGACTCACTAAGGCTTCCCACTTTTCAGGGTTTTAGAGTATGTCATTCCAGAACAAGCTTATTATAATCACTTCTGTGCTTTGTTGGTCTCCTACATTTTACAGGAAGAAAGCATTGCCGGGCTCATTGCTTGACTTTGCAATGACCTTGGCTGTCAGCAAGTTCTTCAGCTCCATCTCATTACCAAAGCCTGTCATTTCAGGACCATGCATGTGCTTTCTAAACCCACTTTGTGGAAGCGGCCAATTTTTTTGCTCAGTGTCATGGCCTCTGGCCATTCTCATCAATGCTGAACCATGCAGCCATCTTGCCAGCCAGTCATTTGGCCTTTCAGGTTATTCACATTGTAAATTCAATGGAATTCTTGGAAACTAAAGATCTGAACATCAATGTCAGCTGTCTGAATGTTGGGAGATGTTTGCAGTGTGCAGAGAAGGCTGGAATAATGGATGATGAGACATTGGTCTCTTAAAAGTGTATGATGTGCCATATTGCTCCAGTAACAGTCACTGACCAACATGGCCAATTTCCCAGATGATTGTAATGTACCTGAGGTTCCTGCGGCGGGAGAACAGCACTGAGCTGCTTCAGTACGCATGGTAAGTTCAAACGGGATCCATCAACAGAGTGTGCTTCTCAGTCATCCTGCACTGCGGGGCTGGATCACATATAGCCCAGTTTTGCAGGCATTGAGCAGCATAGTCTTGTTCACAAGTGTGAATGTAGCATCCTGGTTGCTGTTATTTGTGAGTATACTTGCACCATTTTTATTGTTTTGTGACTGGCCCGGGCTATTCAATGTCATTGTCATTGCTGTTTGGTGTGGCTAGCCAGCCACGTACTTGTAGTGTCATTCCCTGCACCAGTGTGCTGCCCAGGTCAAGCTCTAATTTTGGCTTTGTTCTTTGCCTAACACAGATTAGGTGAGGAATGGCTTGGTAAGTAGGTGGCGGCTCGCGGCCCAGCCGGTCCGGTCTGCCGGTCGTCGTCTGGTCTCCCCTCCTGCCGGCGCCGCCGCCCTCGGACCACCAGCGGGCAGCGGCCGGCGCGCCGTCCGCCAGCGCAGCCACACCCACTGACACGGCTCCGCGCCGCCCGGCCGGCCGACTCTAAACTGTCCAGTGGGACGCATCCCTCTTGTTGCAGGCGGTCGGCTGCCGCCGCGCCCCTGGCTGCTGCTGTGTGCCCATGTCCTGGACAGACCAAGGTGAGCTGGCAGTGGTCTCAGCCTGCTCTGTCTGCTCACTGTGCAGTATGGTCACGGCGCGCGCGCGCGGCGGTCAGTGCGTTTTGATTGTGCTCGTTGTTGCACAGCTTAATGCTCTCAGGCATATCTGGCCCAGTTCTCAGAGGGCATGGATTGCAGGTGGTGCCAGGATTGCTGGAGGTGGAGCAGTGAAATAGAGATCCCCTAGCTCTCATTGCCTTGACCCGATATTGCTAACCAGTCATAAAGGGAAAAGTTTCCCAAAGATGAAGTGATGTGCAAAGCATTCACAGTTTTTGGTGGGAGTGCATTTTTCACGTGATGGACAGCTGTCAAGCAGTCTATGTAATTTTGTTTGCTTGGTTTAAGTATGTTGCAGTTAATATTCATCCCAGTCATGGTAAGATATGGGATAATGAAATATATATATATATATATATATATATATATATATATATATATATATATATATATAAAGCTATTATGATCCATGCACAATGCAGTGCTAGATAGGCAACAGCATGTCCGCCTCCAGCCTTTCTTGGCGCAAGCCGCGTGGTCTCTGAGCTGGCGCTGAATATGTGGTGTTGATATTGCAGTGGGTTGCGAGGAGCGCACTGGCTGTGGTCATCCGACCTCCGGTCTCGGATCGGCCGCTTCCACCTCCACACGACACTGCCGGCCGAAAGGTGGTACTGGGCGCCAGGCCCTTGTAGGCTGCTCTGACCGCTCGCTCTCGCTCGCCCGCCCGTTCGCCCGCGCCTGGCCCGATGTTACGCCGCCGAACGCACCGACCCCGCCCCAGGCCGCCAGCCCGCAAATTGGCGCAAGGATATTTCTCTGGAAGCTGACAGCTATATTGTGGTCGTGTATACAAGTTCGGTTAGGTCACTGCTTGAAGCTACAGTTGCTGAGATGAGCCTGGATGTTTTCTTCTGGTGGGGAAACGTCGCTCGGTCTGTTTGACTATGCGTCACAATTTTGATAATGGCACGCATTGGGAGCGGCGGAGTCCGAGTCACAAGTCATATAGACTGTCTGGTACTGCAGATGGAATTGGCCGCAAGCTGCACTCTCCACCGCTCCCAATGCAGTGTCTCGGGGGCCCGCTGAGTTCTGTCGCTGCCGTGTCGGCCGTTCTGAGCGTTCATGCAGGCGATGGCCCTGACCGGAGGTCCATGTGGCGACTGCGACGGACGTCGCGCGGGGGACACCAGGCGCCGCAGCTGGAGGTGCGTCTGGCGGCGCGCCCAGCCACGCCAACAGGTGCTCTGGACTCCGCCCTGCGTCATACCGCCAGGGCGCTCTCGCCGTAGACGTCATGGTGTTTGGGGAGTGGATGGGCGACCTGGCTTGGTCATTTCCATTTTCAACATTTGATCACGGTTCTACAAAACGTGTGCAGTTTATGCTTGTATTCACAAGAAGTTAGCATACCAAATTCTAGTGACATTTGACTAATTGTACCAGAGGAAAAACCATGCCTGATGTGTTTTAAGTGCTTGCACACTTCATCCAATGGCTAACTGAATATTCCTCCAAATTAATTTTGCTGGCACTGTTTAATAACCCTTTCTGATTCAAAGATTGGTCTTTCCAGGACTGATTGGTCACTTTGGGAAAGTATGGATAGCAAATGTACAGGTATTTGCTAAGTTGATGTTTTGGGTAGAGTTCAGAGAGCATTGGCATAATTTGCAATGCTGTCTTTCACTGTGATCCTACAAAATTCAGGCACCAGGCTGATTGGTTTTGAAAGTTTCATATGTCTTGTCTACTTTTGACATCTACCAAAGCCACATCTATCTTGGATAGCAAACATTTTGTTTTGCATGGGTGCTGTGGTCAGAACCATTTGTTTTTAGTTGGTGTCTTGTTTGGGTACAAATGATGGATTGGTAAAACAACTGCCATCTTGTACATGATCAGTTCATGCATTTCATGCATAGTGTTCATCCTGTTCCCTGCAGTTTTGCTTCCTTTTTGCATTCTCCTTATTGTTTTGTTTCAGTTTATCAGACATTCCAGTGGTTTTCATTGTTATTTGTCCGCAGTACCTGTGATTGCTTGGCTGATTTTTGTTTCTTGTTGCCTTGTCTGCTCCATTCCCATCTTCTCTTGGACGAGTGCTGCTGTATGTTGACAAAGATGCCACATAGTCAAGTTTGTGAAACATGATGCTGATGTGCACCATGAATATTAATGGTTACATGTACTCAGATCATCCATCCTCAGTTGCACTGAACTACACTTGACAGGGCATATACCTGGATCTACATAGGAGCCTCAATCTGGGGGAAACTGGGGACATCCCAATATTGACTAGATGGGCATATGTCCTTTCCTGGCATTGGACCAGTATGCAGTGCAAGCATGACACTGGTAGCTTCTTTGCAACAATGATTGCTAAGCAATAATGGTTACAGGGGTTTGTTGCAAATTACATATCCATGGTGGCTATTGTCAGTCATGAGAAATGAAGTGTTCATTCTGTGAGGAATCTGTATCTTAATACCTGATGAAGAAGGCCAGGGAAGGTATTGTAAGAACAGTAAAAGCACCAGGAAGAGCAGGCAAGCAACTTCTAGTAATAGGATGAGGTGTGCTGGTTTTGTCCATAGGCAGTCTTTATCAATATAGGTCACTTCATTTAAAAAAGTCAAAAAATCCTGAAAATAAATCCTTAGCTCACACAATATTTCATGCATGTGTTGCCTATCCTTGCTTCGGCATGCTGTGTCATCCAGTAGTTTTTTCTGGTCAGTAGTTTTTTCCAGAACCCACCAGCAGTGCTGGGCAAATGATAAAAAAGTATAATGATGAGGCTCAATTGTACTGTAAAGATACAGTTCAAACATGCGAATTACCATTGTGGCAACTAACATTGATGTTTTGTTTGTCAGCTTTGCTATTGGGGCAGCATCTGCAGTCAATTAAATGTTAGCATGTTAACATCACATCAAATTGCAAAATTTGTTGGTGTAATCTGTCTTTGCAGGGTTGTGTGTTGGTCCCTAGCTTGGAGGTCTGTCACAGCGTTTCCATGGCTGTGACGTTTTTGTTCAATGGGTCTGAGCTGCCGGTGAGATATTTGCTGCATGTCACGGCGAAAGTTAGGTAGTGTGGTTCTTTTCTGTCAGTTGGCAATGTTCAATGCAACCCAATATGTCTTGCTTTTGTGAAGAAGTCATTTGGGGTAGGGTTGAAAATCAGGTTTGTTGCTTAGCTGTTTGGCCAATGTTCGTTCCAGGGCTCCTCCTGAGTTACATAGGAGACAACATCCCATCTGCTTAGGCTGGCGGACGCGTCTATGGCAATGTTAGGCGTGCTGTGGGTCGATAGGTGCTGTCGGCCGGACCCATGCCACTGCGCCCACAGTACTGCTGTCCTAAGGTAAAACCCTTTGTGTGTATTGTTGGCGATTTTGCGTTTTTGCCATTTAATTTTTGTCTTCTCAAGTGGAATTCAATTACTGAAGCCATTCTCGAAATTTTCACAATTTCTTAGATAAAAAAGGGCTAAAAATTTATGTTGATTTCAACTGATGGGTTAAATGGCCAAATTCAGCCTGAGAGGACAGGTCAGATGACTTAACAAATGCAAAATAGCCAAACATGAACATGTGGGGTTTTACCTTTGGATGACAGTGCTGTGGTGTGTGTGCTTGGTGCGCAAGCTACAGATGGCTTACCACGCTTGTGGCGCGTCAGATCTGGCGTCCTCGATAGTATTCGGTCGTTGCTGTTCGTCGACACAGGCCGTGCTTGAATCTGCAGCGGTGGCGGCTCGTTGCTATAGATGGTGATTTTGCCCCTGCCTTTTGGGTGTCTTTCAACATCAGCCATAGTTCCATTAAGAGTGGTGGCGGGATATTTCTTTCGGTTGGCACTGTTTCGTCCCTGTCCTCTGGCAAGTTCTCTACTGACTGGGGCATCTTATGTTCATAACACTATTTTTTGGTAGTTTAATTCGATCACACGGTTGTGATGCCAAGTGTACACAAAACATGGATTGCGATGGGCATTAAAATAAATATAATGACTTCTTTCTGTTTCTGGAAAGCATGGGAGGCTCTAAGTTCCAGCCTGAATTCATCAAGTGCGCTCTTATGTTTAAGTCTTGAAACTTGGGGGGGTGGATGGATTTGGGCATGATGCACACATTAAAACCAGGGTTTTGCCAATCCTCCGTGGAGCACAGCCACCTTCATGGTAAAATTGGTTATACCAATTGCGCCATTTGCAGTGGAGATTTTGAAATGTTCGGTTGGCTTCATACTCGACAGGCTTCGGGTGAAGTTAGAGATCTCTGTTCACAACCACCATTCGCGTGGCTGAATATTTGGTCACATTAACAATGGCTGGGTTTGCGTGGCAGTTTTTGGCACGATTGTGTCCCTGTTCATTCTGGACTGTAGTTGTTTGGCTGGGCGGATTCGCTCCGCCGAGTGACCGGCTAAAGTTTTCGTTAACTGTGGTCAAGGTACCCGTACCTGGCGGGAATCTACGGACTTTGCAAGTGGGCTGGTTCTTCACCTATCCATTCTCCTGGCCGGCCCGGGGCGGCGTTGGTGCGTTCGTGGCGCGCGTTTGTGGGCGCTCGCGACAGCGCTGCAGGACAGGGCGTGTGACGCGCGTGCGCCAGTGACCATACTGCCAGGACGTGGGCACACAGCCGCCGCCGCCGGGACGTCGCCGGCCGACCGCGTCCCTCCCGCCGCTCCAGCGCCGCAGACCAGACGGCCGCCGGCCCGGACCGGACCGGACCGCAGACCCTGGACCGCGGACCCCGCCCGCCCCGCGGCGAGCATCGCTAACGGTCAGTGCGCCGCCCGCCGTCCGCAGGAACGCCATGAACGACGCGCTGCGCACCAACGTGTTCATCCGGTACAGTCCGGAGACAGTGGCGGCCGCCTGCATCTACCTGGCGGCGCGCGTCAAGCGCGTGCCGCTGCCCAGCCGGCCGCACTGGTTCCACGTGTTCGGCATGGACGAGGCCGACCTGCGCGACATCGCCACCGCCATCATGCGCCTGTACGGGCGCTCCAAGGTAACGGCACCGGGGCAGCAGGCGCGCCACCGACGGGTCGGGTGCGGCACCCCCGAACTGGCTCCGTCGCCGGGTTTTGCGTGACGATCGCCACTAATGGGATCGTCTTCCGCGGGAAGCTGCGACTCAGCACTATGTGAGCTCCCTTTTGTGACGTTGAGCTTTACAACGTGTAGTATTCCTATATCTGCAGAGGGTCGTCGTTGACAGGTTCGTCTTGCCACTCTTGATATCCCTTGGATAGATGATGTTGAGTTATTGTAGGAGTAGGATGGTTCCAAGTAGTGCCCCATCATTGAGGTGATATTAGCTGTTGGCGTTTATCACGTGCAACTGCTCATGCTCCTGATGACGGTACTCGCGGTTTATCATGTGCAGCTGTTCATGCCCCCGATTTCGGCACTCGCGCTGTCTTCGAGTCTAGTGCGCCACACCTGTGTACCCTGCACAGCGCGTCTAGCGGTGTGTGCAGCGCAACTGACGCGGCGCCCGCCGCCGGCAGCCGAACGCCGACCAGCTGGAGCGGGCCGTGGAGGAGCTGCGCGCGCGCCAGCAGGAGCAGCGGCTCAAGAACAAGCTGTTGTCGGGCACCAACACGCCGCTGGGGACGGGCAACAACTTCAGCCCGCTGGCGTCGCACAACGCCTCGCCGGCTGAGCAGCGGCCGGGCGCCGCCGGCTCCGGCGGCCGCGACACGCCCAACGGCGACGCCAAGCTCAACAAGGAAAACATCGCCGCCGCCGCCGCCGCCGCGGTCGCCAAACGCACCGACAGGTGAGGCACTGTGCCGCGGAGGGGCGATGGACGTGTGGCACATGCAGGCTCGCGGATAGCGAGGCCTGTCCGCGGCGTCACTGATAGTGTGATGCGTATGTGCTGGACCCTTTCGGGCCATGTACTGACAGCAATGAAGGTATGCCTCTCCCATGATGTGGTAACATGCAATGTTAGGCCGGCTAGAAATTGGCACCAGTCAGTGGTGTTAAAACGATAGCAGTCTATATAAGGGACCTGCGCTGGACGACCAGCATGTTAGATTTGGCTCAGTTGTAGTCTGGAAAAGTGCCTCCCACATCGTCTCATCCTGGCTTTACTGATCACTGTCCAATGTTTCACAGTTCAAGATCGCGTTCGTCGAATGAAGATGATGACCGCCGCAAACTGAAGTCAAAGAACCGCAGGTGAGCATCTGCCTGGGTGGCGGGTGACCGGCACTCTGCCCACGTGACGCATCGGCGGCAGATCAGGGACCGCCATATGCTGCTAGTGGCTCACGTTCACAAATAACGCCGATTCCGACGCGCTATATTTTGAGCTTTTCCCGTGCGATGATGGAGGGAAACGGGGTTTTAGCCAGAACCTGTTTTACGGGATCGTGGATCCAAACGTCATTTCCGTGGCTTCCGCTAACATTATTATAACGTTGCATCTCATTTCCGAAGGTCCCTCTGTCTGAGCATTCCTGGTTTGCCATTGGCGTGTGGTGGCTCTGCTGGTGTGTCTCCACCTGTAGTGTGTGCGTGTGTGTCGTGCTGCGGTGGCCCTCCTGATGAGAGGTGAGCGCCGATCCTTCGCGGGGGCTGACCGGGCGCGTGTGCCCACGGCAGGGAGCGCTCCCACCACCGGTCGCGCTCGCGTTCGCCGGTCGAGAAGCGCCGCCGCCACTCGTCCACGCCTGACCGCCACAGGAACAAGCACAAGAAGGACAAGGAGCGCAGGTGAGGCCCACCACCGTGCTGGGGGGTGGACCTGTGGACGGGCAGTAGCCGCCGGCGTCCGCCGCGGCAGCTGCTCCTGTGTGTAATGTTTGGGTGGTGTAGGGCATCGAAATCGGCCCGGCCTTAGCCGCCTGGGGCTCGCCGGGCTGTTGTGTTGTGGGCAGTCTGGTGGCATGTATTTTGCAGCCTATCTTTCATAAGTGAGCGGTGTGGCATCTCAAAGTTTTTTCCCTACACTGGTATGCAGGCAGTTCTGTTCGTAGTGTGTTTGGTGGACGAGGTGTCCTGTGATGTGCTTATTAGGAGCTTCCTGTTTGTGTCCAAAGCTGGTACTAGTGGGTGGCTTGCTGACACAAACTGAGGTTACTGGGTAGCACCAGAGAATGCGTGGCCCGGAACTTGACCGTCGCCTCCTGCCGGCAGCCGCGACAAGCACCGGCGCCGCTCGGCCGAGCGCGAGCGCGCGCGCACGCGCTCCCGCTCGCCGGCCCGCTCCAAGTCGAAGCACGAGCGGTCGGAGCGCATGCCGCCGCTGAGCGGCGGCAAGCGCGAGCGGCGCGCCGGCTCGCAGGAGCGCCACAAACAGGCCAAGAAGCGCGGCTACGAAAACAACCACAAGCGCCGCTGACGGCCGACGGCGGTCGGGGAGCGCGGGCGCCGGGCGGCCCAGGGCGGGGCCGCGGCGTAAACAGTAGTGCACTGGCTTGAGGGGCGGCGTGCATGCGGGTCTGTGTGTGTATATACGTGTACTGTACTGTACTGCCGGCTGCAGTGTTGCCATTGTGATCCATTCTGAAGTGTGCCGAGTGTTCATCGCCGGGCGTAATTAGGCACCAGTATTCACGCCCATCAGTAGCGTGCCTAGATCATGTCACAATCATCCGATCATCCCAGTGTAAGTGTACTTGTGAAGGCGATCCCGCCAGCGATAGGCATTTATCGTCGAACCATGTACTTGTCAAAATGTATCTCAATACATGACCATGTGTAAGTCGTGTGTTTCCGGAAGGGCGTCGCGGATGGCTGTCTAGAATGCAGTATTTAACGAACGAGAACAAACATGGAGACTTGCGCGTGGAGAAAGGCAGCCGCGCTTTCCCACTTTCAGTTGACGCGGCAGGTCGGTGATACGAAAAGCCCCAATCATCATGGGTGGTAAATGCAGCCATGTCTTCACTCACCAGAAGATGGTCAGCACTGCACGTTCATGCACATGCCCAATGACGCGCTCACCGTTACACGGGCAGTTTCTCTGGCTGCCCGTGTAGTCGGGTCGTGACCATTCATTGCTCCAGCGTACAGTTACCGGGTCACAGCCAGCCGGGGCCTGCGGCAGGCTGCGTTCCGGGCACCGGCAGGTCGGTCGCTGCCCAGCGTACTGATCCCCGTGACCAGTGCAGAGACGCTAGTGGGGCCTGTCCTTCCATCAGTCGGGACAAAGTAAATTTTTTGATAGAACCTTCGTCTGTGGGGGCGGTTCAGCGCGTACTCTGGCTGCGGCAGTAGCGGCAACACAACTACGGCGGTATCCGCGGCGTGACCTGCGGGTCGCCAGCAAGGCCTGACATCACGGAACCACCTGCCAGCGCCGAGTCACACGGCGTTCCGCAGCGTTCTGCGTACTCCTGGCCTGAACCTGAGCCCGGCTCTTCACTGTTGGTGCGGCGCCGACGCTGGTCCCGGCTGCTGTCGTGCGGCGGCAGGCGTAGGCTGCAGCTGGCCTCTTGTACCAATTACAGACATAGCAAGAAAACATTCTTTCTGAAACGCGGGGAGAAATCGATAATTTTCTCAGCCAGCTGCAAAAACGATCTTGCACGACACTACCACCGTCGCCTCGAACCTAATCAACCAGCAGAAACGTGAGGTCACACGACCGCAGACTACAGACCATAAAATGCATATTTATTATTGAAAACATAAATTTTACAACAGTTTTAGGCACGGACTGGGGTTACTTATTTCCTCTGGTTCTAACCGGGTCAAGGCAACGCGTTAACAGAGCCATTGCGACACCGTCCAGCGAGAGAACAATCCACAGTGGACAATCCAGTGGAGACGACGGCGGCGTCGCGGAACACGGCGGCTGGAGCTGCGCTGGCACCGCAGGCGGCTGGTGGCGCCGCATCGGCGACCACACCACCTGCAACCGCCAGCCCGACCAGCTGTCAGCGTCCTTCAGCTGACCGCATTCCGACGCTCCGCGCTGCTGGACGGCCGCGCCGGCCCGCGCCCAGCAGCACACGCCGCCCGGCGCCGGCCACCAGCGGCCGACTGCTTCATATCTGGCGCAGAGAGCGGCGCCGCGGCGCATGCGGCGCGGCGGCGGCGCGGCGGGGTGCGCTCGCGTGACTAGACTGTCCGGCCGCCGCCGCGCGCTCAGGTCGGCCTACTCGGACTCGCTCTCCGACTCGACGCTCTCCACGGTCAGCTTGGCCGTGGCCTCGCTGGTGCCGGCGCTGTTGGAGGCGCGGCACGTGATGACGCCCGAGTCCTCCTCGTACGTCTCGACGATCTCCAGCGTCGCCGTGTTGCCACTGATGGTCATCTGCCGGTGGTGAGCGCGGCGGTCAGTACAGGGCATGACACGCACTCGGCACGGGGTATGACACGCGGTCAGCACTAGGCGTGACACGCGGTCAGCACGGGGCGTGACACGCGGTCAGCACGGGGCGTGACACGTGGTCAGCACGGGGCGTGACACGCGGTCAGCACGGGGCATGACACGCGGTCAGCACAGCGGCAACAGCACTGAGCTAACGTGATCAGCAAAGTTCTCTAGATGAGCGCGTGCCGCGGAAAATCTCAAACCGTCTATCGTATCGACAGACCAGTAACAAGCTGTGACGCTACGGCAATTAAGTGCCTATCAACACAGCTATATCGATGCATTTATCTAGTATTAACACGAGAGGCCTCAGGCTAAGTGACCTTCCACCATTAACGACAAACGAGAGAGAAATAACTTGATAGGAAGTGCTCCCATCCTGAAGTCATCACCACTGATTTCGAGTTTCTCACGCCGCCTCGCAGCAATAACCTTAACGCTCGACTGCGATGTCGTATCGCCTTTGAAGACCCGCCGTGCCCGGCGGCACCGACCTTGAAGTCCCTGCTCTGCGGGATGAGCGTGTCCTCCCGGAGCCAGCTGACAGTGGGGGTCGGCTTGCCGGTGATCTTGGCCGAGAAGCGGGCCGCCTCACCCTCGTCACAGGTGACGTCCTTCAAGCCGACCACGGTCGGCGCCTCGTCCTGCTTCGGAGCTGAGGGCGCAGCGGTGGCCGGTCAGCGGCACAGGGTCGCTGAGCGAACGGCACAGGGTCGCCGGAATGACGGGAAAGAATCGCCGAGTGAGCGGCGCTGGGTCGTCTTGTGAACGACAGAAGCTACTGTTGGTCTTGGATTGGCGTTCCAGAGCAGTGGGATACGCAATGGAATCAATTGAGCAACGCAATGAAATCAATTGAGCAACGCAATGAAATCAATTGAGCCTAGCCATAAGTCTTAAGCTTCAGCAAAGTCGGCAATGAAGCATCCTGGAAACCAGCATTGCCACGAATATGATTTCCCATACACACCGGTGTTCGAGCTTACCTTGGACCTTGAGCGGCGCCTTCATGGTGGACTTGCCGGCCGAGTTGGTGGCCACGCAGTAGTACGTGCCCTCATCCTCGGGGAAGCACTCTGATATACTCAGCACGAACGCGTCGCCTTCCTGCTCCATCTTGAAGTACTTGGACGGCTTGATGGGCTTCTCGTCCTTCTGCCACTGGGCGGTCGGTGCTGAAATAAAGTCCATTGTAAGGGCGGGTAAAAGAAAACATGGTCAGAATTACTGACTCCTATTTCATGATCTCATATACACTCTAGGCCGCTACCGGCCAAGTTGGTGGCCACGCAGTAGTACGAGTCCTCATCCTCGGGGAAGCACTGGCATCAAAGTTTGACCGTGTTCCCCATTTTCAGCGTTTTCTGCGTCGGTTAGAGCACTACGCACGCACTCGATGGGGCCGGGCCTTACCGGGATGTCCACTGAACCGACACCGGAACATGGCCGGCTGTCCCTCCGTCACGATAAGGCCCTTCATCGGCTCCGAGATCTTGGGCGCCACGTCCTTCTGCTCCGGCTGCGGCTTCGGCTTGGGCTTCGGCGCCGGCGGCGGGCTCTCCACCACGAGCTGCCGGTCGAGCAACAGCGTTAGCACGCCTCACACACCGGATGTGGCATCGTTCCGAAGCGTCCGGTAGGGCCGCCACAGGCACCATCAAAACGCCAGTGATGTCGAATAAACCGTCCCATCCATCATGAGCGTCAATGAACGGCGAGTTCCGGACATGTTAGTACCAACGACACTGCTGGTAGAAGGCTACACTGACTGAGCGGTTCGCGGGCCGTCTGTCTGAGCATCTGTACTGCGCCATATGGGGTGTGGTTCGCAGACCTGTGCTGGGGCCGTCCTGCTCACAGTCCGTCTCGTCCCCGCCGGGCTCGCGAGGACACCGGTCCTGCGGAGGGAGCCAGCCCCCAGCTGCGTACCTGGCCCTGACAGCGGGCCCCGCCGGGCTCGCGAGGACACCGGTCCTGCGGAGGGAGCCGGCCCCCAGCTGCGTACCTGGCCCTGACAGCGGGCCTCGCCCGAGCTGTTGATCGAGACGCACTCGTAGGAGCCCGAGTCCTCGACGGTCGGCTCCAGGATGAGCAGCGTGAACACCTCCTGCTCCTCCAGGATCTTGTGCTTCATGTCGGCGGCCACCTTGTGGCCGTTCTGCGGACCGACCGGTGACGTCAGATGGGGGCGGCCGATGACGTCAGACGGGACTCGGTGGTCGCCGACAAAGTCAGAGCCTACCCCGCTCGCTGGCAGGCGCACAGAGCGCTCACTGCCTTGTGGTTCATCAAGTTGGTGCCCATTTAATTCACGTACACCACGAACACCGGGTTCGAAACATCTAAGCAGATGGACGTGTCCTCGAAAAGACCATCTTATTTACCCATCCCCGACGCATAGCCAAGTCGCCCTTTAAATGATCTGAATAAATGAGACTTGCAGCATTGTGACTTCTTCCCTCCGCCCCCCACCCCCACCCTCACCAGCGTTTTCGACACATCATACCACCGGCCGATGGCCACCGGCAGCGTCACGAACAATTCCGGCGCCAGGTCCTCACCTTGAGCCAGTACACATCCATGGGCTTGGTGCCGGCCAGCTTGGCGTCGAAGCGGGCCAGTTTGCCGGCCTTCACCGTCGTGTCCTGGATGGTCTGCACGAAGTTGGGCGGCGCCGCCGGCGCCGCGCGCCTGCTTGCGCTCCTCCACCACCAGGTTGGCCGAGCACTTGGCCTTGCCACCGCGGTTGGAGGCGATGCAGGAGAACTGGCCCGAGTCCTCGCTGAAGACCTCGCGGATTTGCAGGAATAGGAGCGCTTCTGTGTGGTGGTGATCTAGTCGCCGGGAGACGCGGGCACGCTGTCATCCCGCTCCCGAGCCGAGCCCGCCATCGATTCGACGACAGTGCTTTACGATGGTGGTGATTATCGGAGTAGCGAAGACAAATGCACCCCGATGCTGAGCAGGCAATACGCCTCACACAACCGAGGTGAAAGATCGCCACAAATGATTAACACGCGGTTACAAAACCTTGTTGTGACACGAAAATTACTCTAACATATGGGGTGCAATAACCCGTCAATGTAATAACCCCGAGCGCCAACTGGGGCGCATCAGGAGGCGTGTTTTCGATGGCGCATGTTGCCCCTGCCTGCCGGCCGCCGCACCTTGAAGTCGGAGCTGCTCTGGATCAGGAAGTCCTCGCGGAACCACTCGATCTCCGGCGCAGGGTCGCCGCTGAACTCCACCTCGAACTTGGCGCCCTCCTTATCGAACACGCGGCACGGCTGCATCTTGCGCGTGAAGAACGGCGGCTTGGACGGCTCCTGTCGACACGCGGCAGCGGCTGAGATCTAGGGCTCGCGTGAGACGTGTTTCATCGGCCGCCGCTTGGCGGCAGCACCGTACACCCAGCCGCGCAGGTCACTGGCAACCACGCCTCTTCTGTCACTTCGCAGTTACAACCAACGGAACTATCACAGAGAAACGGCAAAATGTCGAAGTTGTATGGAATCACCTGACTAATGAACACACTAAAATCATGCTGCTCGCCTTCAAACAACCCTCAGGTCTATCTCATGACAACATCATCAGTGTATTTTTGCGAATAACGAAGTGAAACAAGAAACAAGCTGAGGCCGTTCAGGTACGATCCTCAGTTGCTAGTCCGTCTGACGACAGTTGAAAATTATCATCCGCGGAATTGAATACTAAAATACCAAACGTTTGGCGACACTGAGGGGTCAATCTTCAAACTGTAAGATGGTGGTTGGTTAGTGATCGGAACCCACCACTTTTCCCTTGACGACTCGGTCCTGCATCTGAGCCTTGTGCTCCACTTCCGACGTCTCCTTGGCGGTGATCTTGCGCTGGATCTCCAGATCGCCGCGCACCTCCTTCTGCTGCTGCTTCTGGATGTTTGTGTGGATCTGCCAAACCACCATTGCTGAATTCGCGCCCTCAGGCGTTACGTCAACGTCAAATCATCGCATTAATGCCAACCCTGAGACATGCTACTAACCTCGCAACAAAACGCTGCTGCGCACAGTTTCACCCTATGCTGGGTGATGCAACAGTGAGAGTGAAGTAACAATGCCACGCGGCACAACCAGCGCGACTCAAACCCATGCTCCAGCGTCGCAGTCGCTGCCTTCCCTGACGTGAGCACTAGCCCTGCCAACCTGGCACCAGGCCTCACCTCCTTGCCCTGCACAGTGGACTCGGCCGGGCCGGGCATGAACTGCCGGCGCGGCGGCGGCTGAGCCTGCGGCTTCTGGTCGGCATCCGTGCTGAAACCAGCCGCCGCAGAACAGCGTCAACAGCGCAGCGGGGGCGGCGGCACGGTCAGGCGAACAGCGTCAGCGGCGCAGCGGGGCGGCAGCACAGTCAGGCGAACAGCGCGGCGGGGGGGACTTTGTGCGAACACAGCCACATGCATCACTCACGGCGCATGTGGTTGTGTTCGCGCCGACACACGGCATCGACGGGAAACGGGAATGCGCATCGCAAACGCAACGGGTTCCGTGTCGACGCACAACAGCAGGTTCATTCGGCAGCAGACGACGACTTAACGGACAGCACTAAAAATATGTCGCTGAAACATGGACCATGTGCAAGATTTGTGACCTTGGCATTTCCACTGACGCCGGAGATACGAAACCCATTTGCGCTTGCTGCGTCAGGTTGTGTGGAAATAACTGCAAAAGTTGCGTGGTTCTCAAATTACAGCAGATGCACGCACGTTGCGTTTCACGAAATCCAGTGTCCATCCAATCCAATCCATCCATCACCAATCCAGTGTCTGAGTTGCGCGACGTGGATCCCTGCAGCCTGGATCCTCGAAGGCTCGAAGACCTGCTACGTGACGTCCTTTATTTCAGACATTTAAAGCTATTGGTGTTATAATGCCGCTTGTGTCGGTATATCAGAGCCTCATCGGTTGTGCATGTTTGCAACCTCAAATACAAATCACGATTCATCTCAACCTTCCAACTCAGCAATCAAAAAGATAAGATGGAGACTGTGGTGCTCAGAGAATGGTAGCAAAAATGAGCCCCTTCCTAAAGGCCTATTAACTTGCCGTAACGTTATACTCTCGGTCTCACCTAGCAACATTTGTTCCCCGCAGTATCCAGCTTACAACAGATTTGAATATTTTATGAAATTTATATCAAGTTATCCTAACCGGTCAAAGCTACTTGAAGCATGGTTTATGTTATCCTCAAGCAATTATCAAAACATCTCATGTAAACAGCACATGGCGTAACGCCGTGGCAAACACGTTAGTGGCGCTTTCATCAGTGCATGAGGCTTCGGATTGAGACATTTGGACCCCGATGACGTATGTGGAATGATGCTCCCTGGCTGAGTGATGCCACTCTGCTGACTCAATAATTGCATTTAATCTTGCGATTGCACTTCCAGAGACCTAATGCACCTTGCGAAGTACTGTATTTAACGTCAAGCATCCCTCCATGTTGTCTGCAACACTTAAGAGGCCACTGCCATGATTCATAAGGTCCGAATTGACGGCATTGCTTGGAAAATTTAAATATTCAGCATGTGTTATCGAAAATTGGCATAATTGAGCATTGCCGAGGCTATTGTCATATGCTTGCATGATGCACATTAGACAAAAATTTCGACAAAATACCCCTGTGAAACAATCCATGACGATCGCGTGCTGTCCGACGTTTTGCAAAGAATGTCAAGTGTCGAAAAAGCATGCAATTCATGCCAACGATTCTCGTAAGGTGCTGTTATTCGACGGATGCAAGTCTCTGCCAGGCGTGGTTACGCAAAATGAATTTCAGACGTCTAATATCAAAGACAATCATTGTATGACGGTCAAACATGCACTGACGTCATCTTCGGCATGCTGGCGATGCGTGACAAAAGCCCACTCACTCGCTTCAAAGAGTTAACGTAAGCAGCACACCGGCCTTTTTTAAAGCGTTTACTAGCCTCTGATTTATCACCGACGACACGATAGCTAAACTAACACAAAAGGCAGCAGTATCAAAATACAGCAAGAAACGTCCTGCCGACATAACCACTTTTCTATGAAGCAATGAACGAACTACGATAACACTCAACGCTCCACAGTACCTAATCTGCATTCCCAGAACAGATTTGGCCCCTCTGGTCATTTTAGTAGTCTGCTTCGATGTATCGGACGTCTCATCCCTAGGCAGAGGAGCACATCGTTCATGATTATCACCTCCATCATTACCAGCACCATCACAGCCCACACAGTCATCGCCACCATCCCTACTCGACGAGCCTGAAAGCGGACCTGGTGACCATTCCAGCAACGTTTCCATCTGGCATGTCTTATCTCAGACACTCAGACAATCGGGAGTCGGCCGCAGCTACGATACCACCAATGACGCACACGGCAGATGACGACCACGGGTGCGTAGTGAGGACACGAGGCAGCTGCCGACCTCGCCTATACCATCATGGTAAAGGCGACGCCTACACCATCATGTACATCATGTACATCCTGTAGATGGTGATGTACCGGCGACAAAGCGGCGGCTGGCGCCCACAACGCGGCGCCAGCCACCGCCCGCAAAGCGGCGCCAGCCACCAAACGGCTTCAAGCTGTCGTCGTTGCTAGCTGCCTGTTTGGACCATTACCGAGCTGGGAGACAACTAACACGTATGGTCAGGACATGAGTGTGTGCCGCGGCCGATCGGAAGACCAGCAGGAGTCATTACCGAGCTGGGAGACGACTAACGCGTATGGTCAGGACATGAGTGTGTGCCGCGGCCTGATCGGAAGACCAGCAGGAGCCAGTGCTGGTTCATGGTGGCATGCTTAGATGTCCAAGGTGACACTGTTCACAAGCTGTTACAATTGTCCGGGTTCGACTCATAAAATAGGCAGACAATAAAATTCGACTCAAATAAAGGTGCGACTCAGCCGGTGTACACAATTAAAACAGAGCGACAATTCTTTGAGAGCCAATGCGCAGAGCCTCTTTCAAGCGCCAAAAGTAATGCAATGATTTGATTGTTCTCGAAACATCGCGTCGTCAAACACCACCTCACGTTTGTCTATATATACTTCATAAACATGAGGCGATGCTCAAATAATCTCTGGGCTCCTACCGACTAATACGGACTCCTACCGCCCAATAGCTACGGACTCCTACCTGATACAGATACGGGTCGCCGGACTCCTACCGCTCAATGATGCGGAATTCTACCTGATCAATGGAGCTAGAAATGCGCGAGGTGCCACTATTTTTAAGGCCTAGCACCTCTAAGCTGACTCTTCGCACATTCCTAGTAAGTGGACCAAACGTGTCTCTAGCAGTGAACAGGAGAGATTCTTCACCACGTGCTAGCTGTGGTCTCTGTCAGCTAACAAGCGTACAACAGGTTTAACTTGCTAGACATGCACCAGGGTCTTCGGCTAGACTATCGTACGCCTACAAAGATACCTGAGGAAATACTGCGCCGCACTGGAACATTCTTCAACTGTCTCACTTTCGTGTACCCTACGACGAAAGCATGGTCACAGGCGATCCGGAACTGCTGAGTCATGAATCCTAACAGATGTCGGTGCTAAAGTATATGAGCGCACATGTAGGTATATAAGTCAAGCTGCATCATAGCACCAGGAAAGAAGAATAAATGAGAACATGGTACTTTGTGCGACAGCGATCTGACGTGGACTGCAAACGTGTCTGTTGCCTATAGCATGGGTTACACGGTTAAGAGATCGGTAGGGCCGTTTTGTAAGGACGTCAAATTATACCCGACATGGAAAACAAACATATGCCAGATTCGAAGACGCAAATGCGCGGTCTGGTTTGAGAGCAAAGTAGGGCAAACCGCCTGAGAGGCTGGGCCTGCACTCACAGCTTCTGCATGTAGCTGGCAGCCATGCCCTTGGCGACGGAGCTGTGTTTGATCTTCTCTCCCGGGACGGCGAACTGGTGACCCGACTCGCGGATCTTGGACTCCTTCATCAGCTGGTCCTCCTCCAGCTGTGGACATCCGATGCGCACCCCCGCTGTACGGCACGCCCGACTGCCCCCTTCAGTTGCCAACATCTCACATACGCGCTGCATCTTCACACTTCCCTCGTCACCGTCCTTGAGCTGCCAACGTCCCACACGTCCGCCGTCCACAACCGCCGCGGTTCATCGCCATCCTGTTCGTGAAGACCGGTCCAAAGAAGTGGTCCGTACAGGTGACTTTTGTGTCACACAACCACAAAACAATATTTGACATACGCGCATGGTATCATTCAGCAATGCATTCAAGGCTATGCTTGATCGTATGTGAGAACAGCGGACTTAACTTCACGTCTTTTCCGGGCATAAGGTCTCGATCAAGCCCCGGCTGCGTGCATGCAGCACCAGGTGGCCTCACCTGTTTGTAGCTGCTGTAGTAGTCGGCGCCCTTCTTGGCCTTGGCCATGCGCTGCCACTCGGTCTCGGGCTGCTCCACCACCTTCTGGTGCTCACCCTGGTGCAGCACCGTGATGCCGGGCCGCACCTTCTCCTCGAATATCCGCTCCAGCTCGCCGTCCTGACGCTCCTTCTGGTACTGCTTCAGGTCGTAGTCGTACCAGGCTGCGGGCGCGGGCGTATGCACGGCCGTCATACGCGGGTACAGTGTAGTACGAGAGTGGTATCAAGCCACCGGGTCGGCGGTGCTTGCGTGGTTCCGTGGTACCATGTACCATCGGCAGCGGAGTACCACTTGTCCGGCTCCAGCCGGGCGCCCTCAGCGGCATGGCCGGTATGCAGCGTTGCAACGCACCAACTTTTTAAGGCTTTACGACAATAAAAGCACGTCGCTGGATTTGCGTTTCAATTGTTAATCACCGCCTATAAGATACTTAAACATCGTATGGATTAGCAATTTTTACAACTGGTGAGGAAGTGATATGTCTTAAAACCTTGACAGATGACTCAGAAAATCGTGTAAAACATTCATCATTTGGGTCATCGGTACAGCAAAACTCCTTGCCATAATAAACTACCTCAAATCATAAAATAATCTAGCCCAAGATAAGTCCTTCAAACCCGATGACAGACACAAATGTTCTTACACAGTCAAGACATTTAAAATGTTTAAAACATATCGCACAATACGTCATAAAACACACGATACTTTACTCATGAATGTCACGATCCTTTTGCAAGCGTTACCTTAAACATCTTGTACAGACCTTAAACTTTGATTTCATCTCGCAATGTTTCTGCTGCCTAACCTTTATGACTTTCACTTCCAGCACAAACGTCCATCACGCACTGATTGCGGACGGCACTGAAGTCATTACTACATCAAATCCATTGCAATGGACTAGCTTATACTTTACCCAACAATATCTATTTGGATCTAACGACGAGAATTCAAACATACATTTGTGTCAGAAGGAGGCGGATGGAGGGGGGGGGGGGGGGGGAGCACCCCGCGTAGCCGTCCCCTTGTCGTAACCCGGCTCACGTTTGGGCGAGTTCTTGAGCATGGCGCGGTAGTCGTCCTGCTTGGCCGTCACGTTCAGCTCGCAGGCGCAGTAGGCCTCGCCGGCGGCGTTGCGCGCGATCACCTCGATCTTGCCGTTGTCGTACTGGCGCGTCTTGGGGATGTCCAGTCGCCACATGCCGTCGTAGGTCAGCTTGTAGCGCGTGCCCTGCGGAGACCGGGCAGCGTCGCCGTCAGCAGATCAGCGGCTGAGGTCTCCTCGCCGTCGCCGCGTACACGGCGTGTTCGTTGACGAAGCATGTGCCGCGCGATCGACGGGTATTCGCGTTGACAATGGTGTGTCCATTGACGAAGCACGTGCCGCGCGGTCTGCGGGTACCCACACTGACAATGGCGTGTAAATCGACAGAGCACGCGCCGCGAGATCTGCGGGTTCTCACGTTTACGATGGCGTGTCTGTTGACGAAGCACGTGCCGCGAGATCTGCGGGTACTCACGTTGACGATGGTGTGCCCGTTGATGAGCCACATGACGCGCGGACGCGGGGTGGCCGGTGAGACGGCAGCAGAAGCGCGACCAGTCGCCCTCCTTCACCGACACAGACTCGGGCTTGGTGACGAACACGGGCGCCTCATTCGGCTTCTCCTCGTCCACGGCCCTGTCCGGGGCCCGGTTCCACTGCGACTCCATCTCCTGGATCCGCTTCATCGACTGCATGCCGGCCGGCAGCTGCGACTCGTACACGATGCCCGGCTTGCCCTGCAGCAGGACGGTGCAGAGGCGGTGATGCACGTTACCCAGCTTGGATGCCCACAACTTGTACGCGACATCTGTCGTCGCCACACACCACTCCCCATGTGGCATAACCCACGCTGCGCACTTCGATAGCAGCTCCCAAACGCAAAGGAAACTAGCCCAACCGCAATGCAACACGTAGCACGGAGACGACTGACAAAGCGGTACAGGTTTACTTTCTTAGCCGCTGCCGTTGAACGTGCAACTGACCTTGGTCTTGATGACGGCGCGCGTCTCGTCCATGCCGTACAGGTTGGTGGCGCGGCACACGTACTCGCCAGAGTCCTCCGGGTAACACCCAGCCGAAGTTCATCGCCACGATAGCCGAAGTCGTAGATGGGCGTGAAACGGTTCTCTGCGAGGAGACAGACAATTAATTCAAGCCGTGTGAACGTCGTTGTTGGATGGTTAGCAATACTGGGGGGGGGGGGGGGGGGATCATATATAACACATATATATATATATATATATATATATATATATATATATATATATATATATATATATAGGCAGCCCAAGATTGATTTTGAAGTCAAAACTAGCATCAGTGCGTTGCAGTCGAGCTGCTCAAAATATCTATTTTCAAAATACAATAAAATAATTGATGTTTTTTGTTATTGACGATGCCGTGGTACAACCATTCGCCGCTATCATAGGGTCTGGCTGAGATATGTTGAGGTTGCTAATGCTGAATGCACTGAGGCCAACGGGGACTGAGAGCGCCAGTGAAATCGGTGTGCCAAATTACGGCTAACTGTCCCAGAGCCACTGATTCACACCACTGACTTGGCGGATTCCGTGATGTGTGGAGAGGTCGCAATCCACACCGGCAGATCTATCCGCGCAGCGTGCGCGCCTCCGACCACTCACTGTGGGGCAGCGGCCGGCCGTGTGAAGAACCACTCGACTTCATGTTCGGGTCTCCCACCGGCGCCAGCTGGCACTCGAACTTGGTCTCCTCCATCTCCGTCAGCTCCAGCTGGTCCTGAATCTGCGTCACGAACCTGCGGGCCGGACGATCGCCCAATGAGCCCGCCGCCACGGACGCAGCAGCAGACTGCCGACCGGCGGCCAGCGCCGGCCGGTCCCGGTAACAGCTGCCGTGTTCGCTCGACCGGCGCTCAGGGCGGCACGGACGAGGTGGCGCGCCTTATCAGAAGCGGCTGCTGAGTCGGTGCACGGGGACGGGAGTCCTGGATGGACGCGCGCCGTTGACGCAAGAAGGCGATGTTGAGGAAAGGTAAACTGGTATCCCGGTACTAAGCCTGCTTGAGGAAACAGGCAACGCGTCGCTAGCCCACATCACGCGTCCAAACGACGTGGTCAGGCAAACGCATCAACTTCTTTCGAGCGAGCATGGACCGGGCTCGTTTCTGAGAGTTGCAACAATGTGCATCCACACGACTGCTCGTAAAACGGGGAGCCATTGGCCGCTGCCTTCATGGCGTGGATATCGTCTTGAGGACGCTTCGCACCGAGCCGCGTCGGTGACCTGCGCCGTGGGGTCGGGCCAGTGACCTGTGACCGGTGGGGCCGGGTCAGTGACCGCACCTGGTGGCTGTTCTCCGGTCGGCGTCGTAGATAGTCATCCTCAGTCAGCTGGATGTCGGAGGTGTACTGCTTCAGCGCCGCCTCCATCTGCATCAGGTAGTCCGACTTCTTCATGCCCTTCGGCACCTGGGTCAGCATGATCACCCGACGAGATGGCTGGGGGATTGCAATAGGGTCAGTTAAATCGTGATGCTTAGCACTCTGCCCTCCATCTACAACCAGCAGACCAAGCCTGTTGATCTGGACGGCCCACAGCAGCCCGGCGGAATGACCCAAGACAGCAAAGCACGTCTGTTGAGCTCAGTGCCAGTTCACATTCTCGCAGCCGCCACAGCCATTAAAGATCGGCGAATTCGCAAGCGTTCCATACAAGCAACTTCGAAGCTTACACAACTACAGGCGTCACCTGAGCGGTGACGCTGGAGCGGTCAATGATACCATCAGTGAGTTGCCACACTTTCGCATTTAAATATGCATCGCTCATGTGCCGGTGAGTAATGTGTCTCTACCGGCGGTCAGCACTGTGCCTGCATGAGTCAGCGCCTCGCCTAAGCAGGTGATTATCATACTTCTACAGGTGAGTGTCGCAGCTGTGTACCTCCGCGCGTGTACTGTACCTCGGCAGGTGAGCGCGCTCTTGCAGGTGGCCTGGCCGGCCCGGTTGACAGCGCGACACGTGTACTCGCCGCCGTCCTCCGGGTACACGCCCAGGATCTGCAGCGACGCGTACCCGAAGTCGAACGTCGTCCGGAACCTGCCGGCCAGAGGGAGCTGCTGAGAGGTGCCGGCTCTCACGGTAACAGCCGGGAACACGACGTCCGGGGATAGCCCTGGACGTCCGAGAACAGCTCCGGACGGCCGGGGATAGCCCTGGACGTCCGAGAACAGCTCTGGACGGGGGGATGGCCCTGGACGTCCGAGAACAGCTCCAGACGGCCGGGGATAGCCCTGGACGTCCGAGAACAGCTCTGGACGGCCGGGGATGGCCCTGGACGTCCGAGAACAGCTCTGGACGGCCGGGGATAGCCCTGGACGTCCGAGAACAGCTCTGGACGGCCGGGGATGGCCCTGGACGTCCGAGAACAGCTCCAGACGGCCGGGGATAGCCTGGACGTCCGAGAACAGCTGGACGGCCGGGATAGCTCTGGACGTCGAGAACAGCCGGACGGCCGGGGATAGCTCTGGACGCAAGGGAACAGCTCGGACGGCCGAGAACGGCTCTGGGCGGCCGGGAACAGTTCTGGACGGCTGGGAATAGACGAGGACAGTTGGTACAGAGGTACAGCAAAGAAAATGCCGAAGACAACATGGTATACCTGCACCAACTGTTTTGCCCACTATTCTGGCAATTGCTTAGTCCCCTCGCTTAAGTAGTGGCTGCATTGCCATGCGTTGTTGGGCGCGACGACAGAACCCACACTTATCATGTTCCATAGTAAACCATCCATTTCCAATACAATGTGGAAGTGACCATGGTCTGATGCCTTTATTAGGGCACTGGACATGAAGAGAAGCTCTTAAACGGCGTGTGTCCTGTTCACATACAGACAGTGCAGTATGACCACACCACTGAATGCTGAACCCCGGCCAGCGGTCGAGCCGCGCCCAGCCCGCCGACCCCCACGCACCTGTGGCCGGTCTGGACCAGCACGCCGTTGCGGGACACTCGACGCGCAGGTTCGGGTCCGTCTTGGGCTCAATCTTGGCGTCGAAGAAGGCTGTCTCGCCCTCGCCGATGTCGACGTTTTCGATCTGTGACGTCACAGGAACGTGGTGACGCCGGTCTGTTTCGAACCCTGTGCGTCTCGTCCAATGGCCGACGTCCTTTGAAGAGGACGGTGAGCAGGGCGCGGCACGCGTTTTCACAATGTTTGTTGGGGGCGAATGGATAATGCATCTTCGCGATTACTGGTAAAACATTGCACCAATGTGTGCGAGGGTAATTTCAAGGGATGCCAAAGCCAAAACAATGGCAGATATCTGACATCGACGTTTCAGAGCTAATCTAAAAAAAAAATGTGGACGTGTCGAGAACATGACGTCATAACATCACAGCAACGGCTATCCGTTATGCGGAGCGGTACACGCCCGGCGGCATCGCGGCCAGCAGACGTGACACTGCGTCTGAGCGGTGCCGAACGTCATCTCACTACGCCACTTCTGCCGAACTGACCTCCTTGATGAACCTGGGCGGCTCAGCCTCCGGCTGCGGCCGCCTGCGGCTCTCCCAGCTGGGGGCCCTCCTCCAGCGCGCGCAGCTTGTCACCCGACATGCCCTGGGGCAGCTGCGATTCCAGCAGCACGTCCCGCTTGGCTAGGGCGAGGTCGGCACAGGGTCAGAGGCAGCACGGGGAGGGGGAGGGGCGCTCCGATCACGGAGATCGCGGCAAGCGCAGTCTTCTGACACAACCGAGTAGCGATCCCCGAGTCAGCCCCGCTGGTCATACTGATACTTCATGGGCGAAGAACGGGATACTTGTGCTTGACATCTGAACAGGGGGTATGGGAATGGTGCACATTCACGATGTGTTACCTCCACGAGTTCGTATTTGGACCAACACAAAAAGCTAGCCGGCGGCCTGTTGATGGGCTGGAGACCGATCGGCACGTCAGTGTACAAGACCGGATACGGACCCGAGGCCGGTCTGTAACGCACAGACGTCCAGCTGTTAGTGACACACACACACATACACGCACGACACGCGGTGATCAGGCGGGTACACTCGGGTGAGTTAGTGAGGCGGAGCACAGCCAATGTTAACACGCCACCTGGCCAGGGTTGTTCTTTGACCAGTGTTTGGTGCCGGGGGAGGCGCTATTATAAAAGGGGTTCGTCTAAAACGTAAGGGGGCAAAATGTAACACTCAACAGCTAAGCGATCTGCACAGCAAAGGCGCTCTGCAGCCCAATGCGTGTGGTGCGCAGCAGCAAAGCACATAAAGTGGACAGACAGTTGAAATAGTGGTCCACGGACACAGACACGCTCCAGAGCTTGACAACGCTCTGTCGGGCAGGATGCAGGCTCGATACCTTTGCAGATGAGGGTGGCCTTGGTAGACGCGGTGCCCCACTTATTGGTGGCGCGGCACACGTACTCCCCAGAGTCCCTCGGGAACGTCCAGTCCAAGTCGAGCACGATGAACCCGAAGTCATCCAACATGTGCACCCTGCAATACGACCATTGACGTAGCGAGCCCCCCCACGTTTACAGGCGTCCCTAGCAGGCACCACAGGATAACCCGCACATGCCGGCGTCTTCGTGCAGCTCCTTGGACAACGCCGGTTACAAGGTGAATAATACGACGTCTTTTCACGTGAAACCTTCAAAATTGCCCAAAAAGGTAGCATTCACGATGCCTGCCCAAATTGTATGCTGTGATCGGACTTAACATATCGGTAAGACAGCAAGTGAGACATCCAACCACCATCGGTGAGACAGACAAGCATTCGAAGGCCTCGCATGCCATCAGAAAAAACAACCCATCACGTCCAGCAGCAGATAATCCCCAAAACACGCTAATCGGACGCTCCGTTCCACGCTGCAGCAACCACCCTAGCAGACCGCCAAGCAGCCCCGTACCTGGATCCAGTGTCGATGGGGCGGCCGTTGAAGAACCACTCGATGCGCATGCTGGGGTCGCCGACGGGCTCGACACGGCAGTCGAAGTGCGCCGGCTGGCCCTCGTACAGCTGGTCCTGGTTCTGCAGCTCGGTGACGAAGCGCGGCGGGTTGGGCTTCTCCTCCTGCTCGGGCGCCGGCTCGGCCTTGTGCAGCGACTCCTCCAGCTGACGGATGCCGGACATGTCGTGCGGCATCTGCGGCTCCAGCACCACACCCTGCCGGCCCTGTGGGAGGAGGGAGGAGGGGAGGGAGGTCACTCGTCGCTCCCGCGGGACCGAACGGCACGGCTCCAGCACCACGCCCTGCCGACCCCGTGGGGAGGGGTAGCCTTCCCTAGCTCAGGGGACATGACGGCACGCGGAGCGAGAGAGCAGGCATGGTTGCAGGGAAGGATCCGGGCGCCATGATCAGAAGCACGTGGTCTATCAACTTAATCTGGAACGGCATTCGCTAGCTGCGGCACACGCAGGCATAACAGCCATCACATTATGGACTTGGAGCTCCAGCTTTGGCGGCGGATGTGAACGCGCATCGCTTACCTTGACGGTAAGGGTGCATGAGACGGTGGCCTCTCCGTGCTTGTTGACGGCCTTGCAGGTGTAGAGGCCGGCATCGCGCTGGTAGATGCCGCCGATCTCCAGGATGACGTACCTGAAACGCGCCAGACACGC